GACGCTATGCGCCAATAAAATGTACAAGCTCGTTGGAGCGAAGGGGAAAGTGTACAGGGAAAATGAAAGGGGGTGGCCGTGAAGGCCCCTATGTACAACTGAAGCGCAGAAGCGCAATAATAATAAGCTTTACAAAAGCTACAAGATCATACCACTGGGATTGCAAATAAACTGTTCACAAAAGGTATAATGAGGTAATACTTGAGAAGAGTTTAGTTAAATGCTAACAATGAACTATAAAAAAGACAACTTCCATATTGCAAAGTTCGAAAGATTAAGTTGGAAGCTGAAAAATCTGTGTTGGGCTCACTCCATTCGTAACATGCAGCTGAGGACCAGGAACTTTTGAATCCCTAGACCCACAGTCACGAGTTAAACAGCGTACTTTAGGTGGTGGCAAGACTGAAGGATCGGTCAGCAACATTTTATTGTCCGTCGAAGAAAGGCCGTTACCATTAGAATTACTGAAAGAAACATCAACACTATGGGACCTGGGAAACTCAGAAGGCTGAAGTGTAACACCGTATGGCCTTGCCAGCTTTCGCCACAGGCGATGAGTTGATACCAAACTATTGCTAGGCTTCGGCACCAATATGGCCTGGGAGGTTTGACACATATTTGGATTCGTGATGGGAATCTATATATGTATGAAGCAAGCCCAAAGAAACTGTTAAGGTCTTAGCCATCATTAATGTAAAACCAATTAATAACTTAGATCATAATTTGTCACAATATCTGATAATTTGGATAGAACAAATGAATAATCGTCAAAGCAGTTACATCGTATGACTGACTAAAATTATACTGAGTAAACGCCATATGACAATACTTCTCAAAATCAGAAAGATAAAACCTTCAAAAAGCCAAAAATGAGTACAAATAAAAAAGGCTCACCATAACCGCGGACGATACATTAACTGATTTCTTTGGCATTAGATCGTTCTGAGGGTGCAAGGGAGAATGTTTTTCCTGAATCAACAAACCGTCATTCGGAACATCATTTAACTCACGTCCCGCGTCCAGAGCAACTTCATCTATGGTCACATCATCCGGATGCTTCCTCGAAGTTGTTGGACAATCCGTCTTCGAGTAGAAAATGGGAGAGGAACGATGATCCGTGGAACCTTTAGATTCAATAAGTATAGGTTCGAAGGGTATTGGTGGGAAGATAGTTTCAGAAACAGGCCAGGAGAATGAAGGACGCTCACGATGCGAACTGAAAATAGAAGTCTTTAGTCTATTAAACAAAGCAACATCTTTTGTTTGTGACTGTCGCCAGCAAAAGTTTGAGGGTGTAAGACTTGGACTAGCTGAACCACTAGATCTCAAATCCGCATCATAGGACTGGAGATAAGCAGAAAGTGGCGAGGGGGCTGCAACGCGATCACATATTATTCGACCGCCACGACCAAGGCGACGCCTTATATAGCCGGTATAGGTAAGATGCTTTGTATGACACAGTCGTGGAATTGTTGCTAATGTATAGCAGGAATAAGGTGAGCGGGAAGGATGGAGACTGGAAAGTGTGGAACACTCTTCTAGCAATGACCTAAGGAAATAAACACGAATACATAAACCTTACGTGAATATGAGATAAATGAAGGATAGTTGAATACGCTAACTTATCAAGCGTTAAGTTCGGACAATTACAGTTTCTCTAATAGTCGTTAAACGAGTACAGGAACACCATGTTTATGTCAAAAGAATTTAATACGAACGAAAACCCATACAAGTCCTGACTAGTAATTACGCCTATAGTGAAACGCCGTTTACGAAGTGATAACCAACGACTTCATTAAAAATTAGCTCAAATTGACCATGAATAAATGCTCAAGTCAGACCAGTTTCCACGCAATTGCTGCAGCTAACTCCGCACGACAGAACGCCTCGTTTCGTATTAACTATGTACCCTAAACTCTACCAAACTCTTGGTGGCAATCACTAGGTGATTGGTCTGCACGGGTGACAAGGTACTGGCGGGGCAAGCCTCTAGAAAGGTCACCTGCTAAATACAACAGACAATGAGCATGTCACTTAGTTCACTAAAGACCGAGCCATTATCAGGAGGTCGCGTTTTACCTGGAGAGAATCATGGCAAAATCAGGAACGTCAATACGATACCGAGTGGCCTATGTGAACCAAAGCTTAGAAGTTCAGTCACTAGTGAGCACGAACTCGCGGTAACTTGTAATTCCGAGTTGAGTGACAACTACTCGAATGCTTTTAGCTAGTTATTCGTATTATCCCAACCTATGAAATTCCCTTGCTTGTGATACATAGTTCCCCTGTTTGATTCCACAACTATCTAACAAACCCATCAGACTGAGATTATGTTCAAGCGTGTCTTGGGAGACTTTCTCTTACGTACACAGAAGTCTGGTATATTGGATACAGTAGGGGTCTATACATGCTTGTTGTAGAATGGCCATGTCCAATAACTTAAGAAAATTATTCATACAACATAAGTGGTTTAGGTGATAAATACCCGGTGGAAATCTCACTGCGAGGGACTGTGATTACTTAGAATTTTACCAGAACTACTTAAGGCAAATAAATAAGAATGGTGAATTAAAATCTTATATTAAACAATAGACCTTTCCGCATCCATCATTAGCATTAATGCAAACACTATGTACAATAATTTGAGCAACCATTAGTCCACGATTGGAAACATTGAAAGATATATTGCGCTTTTAAAGTATAAATCAGGAAGTTTTCATCATGTACAGACGGAATTCATGGTTAGTGGTGCTATGCAATCCCAAATTATAGACGTCCTACTTAGTCTACTTATGAAAAGCTGTAGAAAAACGGACAGTGAGTATAACTCAACAAATAGACAAAAGTTTAGTATAGAAACACAGTAGGTCCGCTGGTTAACTATATACCTTGGCTTCAAATATCGGCAACCAGGAGTTCTAACAAAAGAGAATGGTCCACTTTGATCATCATCATCATCATCATTGTCAGAAGCCTCGTCGGAACTTGTGGAGTTTGGAAGATTGCTAAACCTCTTGACCAGTTTGCGCTTGCGATTAGGACGTCTTTTGTTGTCCTAAAAGAAATGAAATTCTTAGGCAGGTAACTTACTTTCAAAGACTTCATAGTTACTACACCTTCATCCTCGTGATGGTTCCGCACTAAAGTTTCGGCTTCTACGAGACTTGAGCCTTCCCAGTCGCATAGCTTACATCTAAGCTGAAAGCATCTGTAATCACAGTTAACAATTGCTTCCTTTGTAGCTTCACGTTTGACAAGTCGACCGAGTATCTCCCTAAGAAAATGCATTAGAATAAACGTTTTCAAACCCTAGAGAATCCATTTGTTCTCTTAAGATCAACATCCTTTCGTACGACTGCTCATCACTTTTTCGGTTTTTACGGGTTTGCATCTTTTCACTCCGTCTTCGGAACGCCACATATGGATCCGTGTTACTACCACCGTCACGTCGCTCTTGTCGAACAGCGTAAAGGAGAGGTTGCCTTGACTGAACACGCTTATTAAGCCAGTAATCATACACAGCGATAACTAGGGATGGGTGGTCTTGAAGAAGGTACTTAGCTTCTTCCAAATTCATTACCTATAAGCAATGAACTAGGGGAAGTATATATACCTTTTGACCACAACCACGCTCAAGCCGGTCGATCATAGACTCAAATTTCTCAGGAGTAATACCCAGATCACTTTTTTGGAACCACTCTTCATCTTCACTATCCATATCATATTCAATTGGTTCTTCTTCCGAGAACACGATTGCTTCACAGAAAATGTTACGTCAATGCACAACTTACTTCTGATATGTAAGAGCTGTTTTGGTAGACTAAAGCTGTCTGGGTAAACCCTCTTATAATCATTCTCTTTGTCAATTATCTCGGGGACAGGTATTTTAACATCTGAGTCTGTACGGAGTTGCAGGGCCTGAATAACCTCCAGAAAGTGATGTTCCTGGTGGGGAAAGTTAAAAAACGACATTAGTTCACGAACCACTTCTCCTAATAATCAAGTAAGCAATCGAAAATTAGAGACATAAGGACAATAACATACATCGTATTACTACATAAAAGCCTAAATTTTATTACATTTTCCTCCTCTTTCTCCATCCCGCTGGGAATCTGTGGAACGCCACGATTGACCAGTGCATTTTCACTGATTTCAAGAAATAATTCAGAACCATGCTTCAGAATAGGTAAGGGTTTGTTAAAATCTATTTGTCGAGCTCGAAATGAGACTTTGCTCATAGCTGAAAACAAGAACAAGAAAAGCAAGCTCATTGATAGCTAGTGAACATAGTTCCTATGTTATTGAAAGCTCAAGAAAAACTGTAAACTAAGTATGTACATTGATTTACAATTTCATATTAAGGATATCATAACTCAATAACCTTAATTATTTTAATCTTTTGGCCCCACTCCAATATGGCGCGGGGTCATTTAAGTGAAATCCAGTATGGCGGTTCAATCGTCTGCAAATGGCCGGCAAGATGGAGGAAAACGTATATCATTAGCCAATTATAACAACTTCGTAACGTCTTAAAGATATTTTCGATTTCGCAACTTGGAAATATGGCTAAAAACTTTTTCTTTTTGAATTTTATTCATATATTTTTAAAGAGTCTGCTGAAGTATTGTTTTTTGCCTACGAGGTAGAACTTTATTGAGTAGTTCACAGCAATTATGGTGTTCCTAGAATTCAAAAGAAAAAGACTTTGCCTCAAAATTCGTCCGATAGCTCTGTCCTAATTTTTCTTTATTCATAGTCTAATGTAACCTATCTTTGACATGTTACAATGCATATTGCCTTCATATTTACCACCGGTAATAGGATATTTGATCTTTGTTGTGACCATATTATTAAGCTCCACATACAGTACATAGCATCAATGGTAACTTCACAAACTTCTGCAACAGCTCGCAAAGACATAAGATATAGAACTAAGAAACGTAACCATGTAAATCACTATTATTCACGAGTGATGAGTTTCTAAATTTCATCAGGAAAAACCATCCCTAGTTATCGCTGTGTATGATTACTGGCTTAATAAGCGTGTTCAGTCAAGGCAACCTCTCCTTTACGCTGTTCGACAAGAGCGACGTGACGGTGGTAGTAACACGGATCCATATGTGGCGTTCCGAAGACGGAGTGAAAAGATGCAAACCCGTAAAAACCGAAAAAGTGATGAGCAGTCGTACGAAAGGATGTTGATCTTAAGAGAACAAATGGATTCTCTAGGGTTTGAAAACGTTTATTCTAATGCATTTTCTTAGGGAGATACTCGGTCGACTTGTCAAACGTGAAGCTACAAAGGAAGCAATTGTTAACTGTGATTACAGATGCTTTCAGCTTAGATGTAAGCTATGCGACTGGGAAGGCTCAAGTCTCGTAGAAGCCGAAACTTTAGTGCGGAACCATCACGAGGATGAAGGTGTAGTAACTATGAAGTCTTTGAAAGTAAGTTACCTGCCTAAGAATTTCATTTCTTTTAGGACAACAAAAGACGTCCTAATCGCAAGCGCAAACTGGTCAAGAGGTTTAGCAATCTTCCAAACTCCACAAGTTCCGACGAGGCTTCTGACAATGATGATGATGATGATGATCAAAGTGGACCATTCTCTTTTGTTAGAACTCCTGGTTGCCGATATTTGAAGCCAAGGTATATAGTTAACCAGCGGACCTACTGTGTTTCTATACTAAACTTTTGTCTATTTGTTGAGTTATACTCACTGTCCGTTTTTCTACAGCTTTTCATAAGTAGACTAAGTAGGACGTCTATAATTTGGGATTGCATAGCACCACTAACCATGAATTCCGTCTGTACATGATGAAAACTTCCTGATTTATACTTTAAAAGCGCAATATATCTTTTAATGTTTCCAATCGTGGACTAATGGTTGCTCAAATTATTGTACATAGTGTTTGAATTAATGCTAATGATGGATGCGGAAAGGTCTATTGTTTAATATAAGATTTTAATTCACCATTCTTATTTATTTGCCTTAAGTAGTTCTGGTAAAATTCTAAGTAATCACAGTCCCTCGCAGTGAGATTTCCACCGGGTATTTATCACCTAAACCACTTATGTTGTATGAATAATTTTCTTAAGTTATTGGACATGGCCATTCTACAACAAGCATGTATAGACCCCTACTGTATCCAATATACCAGACTTCTGTGTACGTAAGAGAAAGTCTCCCAAGACACGCTTGAACATGGTCTCAGTCGGATGGTTTTGTTAGATAGTTGTGGAATCAAACAGGGGAACTATGTATCACAAGCAAGGGAATTTCATAGGTTGGGATAATACGAATAACTAGCTAAAAGCATTCGAGTAGTTGTCACTCAACTCGGAATTACAAGTTACCGCGAGTTCGTGCTCACTAGTGACTGAACTTCTAAGCTTTGGTTCACATAGGCCACTCGGTATCGTATTGACGTTCCTGATTTTGCCATGATTCTCTCCAGGTAAAACGCGACCTCCTGATAATGGCTCGGTCTTTAGTGAACTAAGTGACATGCTCATTGTCTGTTGTATTTAGCAGGTGACCTTTCTAGAGGCTTGCCCCGCCAGTACCTTGTCACCCGTGCAGACCAATCACCTAGTGATTGCCACCAAGAGTTTGGTAGAGTTTAGGGTACATAGTTAATACGAAACGAGGCGTTCTGTCGTGCGGAGTTAGCTGCAGCAATTGCGTGGAAACTGGTCTGACTTGAGCATTTATTCATGGTCAATTTGAGCTAATTTTTAATGAAGTCGTTGGTTATCACTTCGTAAACGGCGTTTCACTATAGGCGTAATTACTAGTCAGGACTTGTATGGGTTTTCGTTCGTATTAAATTCTTTTGACATAAACATGGTGTTCCTGTACTCGTTTAACGACTATTAGAGAAACTGTAATTGTCCGAACTTAACGCTTGATAAGTTAGCGTATTCAACTATCCTTCATTTATCTCATATTCACGTAAGGTTTATGTATTCGTGTTTATTTCCTTAGGTCATTGCTAGAAGAGTGTTCCACACTTTCCAGTCTCCATCCTTCCCGCTCACCTTATTCCTGCTATACATTAGCAACAATTCCACGACTGTGTCATACAAAGCATCTTACCTATACCGGCTATATAAGGCGTCGCCTTGGTCGTGGCGGTCGAATAATATGTGATCGCGTTGCAGCCCCCTCGCCACTTTCTGCTTATCTCCAGTCCTATGATGCGGATTTGAGATCTAGTGGTTCAGCTAGTCCAAGTCTTACACCCTCAAACTTTTGCTGGCGACAGTCACAAACAAAAGATGTTGCTTTGTTTAATAGACTAAAGACTTCTATTTTCAGTTCGCATCGTGAGCGTCCTTCATTCTCCTGGCCTGTTTCTGAAACTATCTTCCCACCAATACCCTTCGAACCTATACTTATTGAATCTAAAGGTTCCACGGATCATCGTTCCTCTCCCATTTTCTACTCGAAGACGGATTGTCCAACAACTTCGAGGAAGCATCCGGATGATGTGACCATAGATGAAGTTGCTCTGGACGCGGGACGTGAGTTAAATGATGTTCCGAATGACGGTTTGTTGATTCAGGAAAAACATTCTCCCTTGCACCCTCAGAACGATCTAATGCCAAAGAAATCAGTTAATGTATCGTCCGCGGTTATGGTGAGCCTTTTTTATTTGTACTCATTTTTGGCTTTTTGAAGGTTTTATCTTTCTGATTTTGAGAAGTATTGTCATATGGCGTTTACTCAGTATAATTTTAGTCAGTCATACGATGTAACTGCTTTGACGATTATTCATTTGTTCTATCCAAATTATCAGATATTGTGACAAATTATGATCTAAGTTATTAATTGGTTTTACATTAATGATGGCTAAGACCTTAACAGTTTCTTTGGGCTTGCTTCATACATATATAGATTCCCATCACGAATCCAAATATGTGTCAAACCTCCCAGGCCATATTGGTGCCGAAGCCTAGCAATAGTTTGGTATCAACTCATCGCCTGTGGCGAAAGCTGGCAAGGCCATACGGTGTTACACTTCAGCCTTCTGAGTTTCCCAGGTCCCGTAGTGTTGATGTTTCTTTCAGTAATTCTAATGGTAACGGCCTTTCTTCGACGGACAATAAAATGTTGCTGACCGATCCTTCAGTCTTGCCACCACCTAAAGTACGCTGTTTAACTCGTGACTGTGGGTCTAGGGATTCAAAAGTTCCTGGTCCTCAGCTGCATGTTACGAATGGAGTGAGCCCAACACAGATTTTTCAGCTTCCAACTTAATCTTTCGAACTTTGCAATATGGAAGTTGTCTTTTTTATAGTTCGTTGTTAGCATTTAACTAAACTCTTCTCAAGTATTACCTCATTATACCTTTTGTGAACAGTTTATTTGCAATCCCAGTGGTATGATCTTGTAGCTTTTGTAAAGCTTATTATTATTGCGCTTCTGCGCTTCAGTTGTACATAGGGGTCTTCACGGCCACCCCCTTTCATTTTCCCTGTACACTTTCCCCTTCGCTCCAACGAGCTTGTACATTTTATTGGCGCATAGCGTCGTATGTCAATTGAATCAATGCATAATCTGAATGAATTGTTTTCTTTTTTATGTAGTTGTGATAAATTTGTTTGTACCTTGGTACTTTGTTGTTTTATCGAAATAAGGGTTAATGTATATTTCTAAAGATAAATACCAATTTTACTGGTTAACAAGTTAAATGTACCCCCCTGAATATGATTAACCAGCCAAAGTGTAAGAGGTCGGATCCAATATAGGCTATGTAGTTTTTCACGTCCAATTGTTTGTTAGTTTGTTGAACTCGTAAGTCAAAAATGGAGAATGAATCTCTCACTAACCTGTGGGTGTTCTTGTAAATTTACTGAGTACGAGTTGTCAGCTTTTGTACGTGTTAAGTCCTTGTTTTTTGAGGTTACGTGCTTCAAGCGACTATCATGTTTGGTCACATGGGCGCAAGCACCTGGAGCTTTTTCGAAGTCGTCGACACGTATTAATTATAAGCAAACTTACGATATGCCATGAGGTGGTGCTTACTAAGGCTGGTGTTCTATAGTCACCTTGTCTTTGTGGTTTTGCGTTGTGTCTGTACAGTTATTTGTCGATAAGCAAGGATATGTTTGATTTATTGGTATACTTAGTCGCCCAATTGTTCGTCATCTCGCTTCTGATGTGTGTCGTCCTAGTTACGCTACCGAAATGTCCTACTTCGGAAAATTTCCGTAAATTCAGCAGTTTTGCTACTGGAAGTAAAATGATGGTACTCCAAATTTTGGTCATTGTGTACGTTGCTGAATCAGGGTACTAACGTTCTGTAAGAAATCAATGTTTGCTTTAAAAATGTATTGCCACAATAAGAGCTTACGTCCTAAAGAGGATAGCTAAGTTTGAGATAAACATGTTACTTCAAATTAATTTATGAAGTTTAGGATTGTTGGGGGAATAAAGTAAAGAATGTTGTTATTGGAGTCAACACTTTGTAATTTTCACATGGATCAGCTTATAAGTCAACTGGAACTATAAGATTAGTGGTTGAGGTAAATAAAAATAACAGTGTGAGATAGTAATATGCTGTGAACCTAGTAGACGCTTAATTTCCTTGAGCTAGGGATTTCAGTTAGTAGACTCTTTACAACTACAGTAGTACTTCCGTTACGCTACCGAAATGTCCTACTTCGGAAAATTTCCGTAAATTCAGCAGTTTTGCTACTGGAAGTAAAATGATGGTACTCCAAATTTTGGTCATTGTGTACGTTGCTGAATCAGGGTACTAACGTTCTGTAAGAAATCAATGTTTGCTTTAAAAATGTATTGCCACAATAAGAGCTTACGTCCTAAAGAGGATAGCTAAGTTTGAGATAAACATGTTACTTCAAATTAATTTATGAAGTTTAGGATTGTTGGGGGAATAAAGTAAAGAATGTTGTTATTGGAGTCAACACTTTGTAATTTTCACATGGATCAGCTTATAAGTCAACTGGAACTATAAGATTAGTGGTTGAGGTAAATAAAAATAACAGTGTGAGATAGTAATATGCTGTGAACCTAGTAGACGCTTAATTTCCTTGAGCTAGGGATTTCAGTTAGTAGACTCTTTACAACTACAGTAGTACTTCCGTTATTTTGAAGTGCTTCCTCTGTAGGAAAATTTCATTCGAATCAAAATAATGAAGTAGTTCAACTGAACTTAATGCTGAGTTTTGCTTGAATATGTCGATTCTAAAGTTGACACATCCCACATCAACACAATATAATAGGTCAATACAATGATGAATGACAATAATATCAGATCTAATGTAGAACTAAACATAAAAGCTGATGTTGGGAAAGAAGTTAGTTCTAATAAAGGGAAGTATATAATAAGTTTATATTCAAAGCATGGCGGATGGACTGTAGTTGATTATCCCAAGCCCAAATCATTGCTGATCCTATCTTGAATCATATCAGAGCTTAATGACACGGCTGTCTGACAATCAGTGACTTATTTGGTTGGAGCTATATCTTGACCTCTCGGCGGTTAGCTTTTTTACAATCTAGGCACATAGGACATGTTTCAACCATACTACTTGAGGATGTTTGTATTCTCATCTTTGGCAAAACTCCAGACTTGGGGGTCGGGGTCGGTAGGCATGTCTGTGTCCTAGGAACCTGTTGAAGAGTAAATATTTCTTCGATACATCTGTGAGCAGGTCTGAAACCCGCTTGATTACCCAGTATTTGTTGTATCTGGGCTCCTACTAAATGTCGGATGGCAGTTGGAGCTAATATAATAGGCAATTAATGAGCGGTTCGTATCTAATTGTCGTGAGTGATTTTCTATACTTTTCCCGAAACTGAGACGATCTAAATTTTAAGACTAGGCTACTGTCCATAAGAGCTCATGCTGTTAATCTGTCAGAACCAGTTAATCTTTATTTCAAATTAGTCAAAGTCTTCCCAATTTTATTCGACAGACACCCTTAACCTTTTACTACAGACCATGTCGGGCAACATCAGGGTGACTATCTTCATGCTCGACCGAGTGCCTGGTTAGGCTTTAAACACACTTAACGAGCGGAGTTCGAAGCAGTTTTCTTGCTATGATTTTTCCGTACTCAGTAACACTTAGGTAAACATGCTTAGAAGAGGGAGTGGTTGAAGTCCATAAAGAGAAGGGATAGTCCCTTTCAAGAGCTCGCCAACAATATGTGACAAGTTTCGAGACAAACTGTTGAAATCTTAAATATTTATATGGAAATGTACTTATTCCGAAAGCTGGCTGTCCTAGGTTTGACAACTAGGTGAGTACTGGGTGCGAACTAAGATTACCTGACCAAAATGACAGCTATTCAGTGATCGGTAGTTTCCAATCATTCTCCAGATATTATCCCATGGTTGGAATCTTCACTTCGAATAAGTCCGCATAAATCATCAATCTTAAAATCTGTTTAGTTCCTAACTAATCTCTAAACCACTAACAACCCTTCAAGAAATACAGTTCAAAACAATACTTTGTATATCAAAATAAATCAAATTCCACCGGCACACAAACGTGCATCTATCGGCAGATAACCTCTGATTACCTCTGACTATTTTAAGCTAACTTCTTATGTGTTTGAAAATCAAGCTACGATCAATTGCGAGTATAAACTACAGTACAACATCGTATGATAATAAATAATTTTGATAGCATATTGAATTTATTTGGTCGACGTAAAAATAAACTCTAATAGTCGATATAAGCTTTTCTACCTGACCAGTATGTTTACTGTAGTTTTCGTTGTTTGGGTTCAATATTTGTATGAAGAACGATAATGCAATTAATAAAAGGTTTCATTGTTACTTTTTGTAACAGTTCTTTGAACTAATTGTTTGGAATACTCTTTGGGTAGTGGTTACTAGTCAAATGTAGGACAGTTGTTACGTCTTATTTAGGATTTGTCAGCAGAACGAACTTGCATTCGGAGGTGAATATTCATTATTGAATGCCATTCAAAGAAATAATCAACTATCAGACACAGGCATTGTCAGAATGTTCACCCAAAACGGCCTTTATTTCAACAAGGGTTTATCATGTCAGCCCTCAACAATGAGATCGAAGTCATTACAGTTGACAATAATAATAGTAATAAAAATAATTATTATAGGGAAGGAGAATACAAAAGCTGCTTAAGAAACATACTGCCTGATGTCTGAATAGTGGCACAAACATTCCGTGCGTATTTATAATTCAGTAAACTAATTCAGACAACCCCGTAATGGTAATAATTTCGGCTACGCGAATAATCAGGTTAATATAGCCCAGTTTTTGTAGCTTCCCATTTTCCATTGATCTCTGATGCATCATGTTATTTACTCAGTTTTTCTCTGGACATTATGTCTAGAGGTATCGTCACCTCAGTCCTATATTCGTTCCCTCAAGTGGTGATAGGTATGCACTGTTTAGATGATTACCTACACTTCTTACTCCTCGTGGGAGCATAGGCCACCGACCAGAATCCTCCAGCCAACTCAGTCCTAGGTTCTCCTTTCCGGTTGTTTACAATTGCTACTCATTCTTTTGATGCCTACCCTTAATTCCTGACACAATGTGTTCACTAGTCTCCCTCTCTTCCTTTAGCCTTCACAATTCCAAGTTAGGATTCGCCTCGTAGTGCAATTTGACGATCTCCTCAATGTACATCCTATCTACCTCCAATGTCTTTTCCTAATTTCCTCTTCAGATGGAAGTTCGTTTGTTTTCTTCCACAGTAGGTTGTTGTTGGTGGTATCCGGCCAATGGATATGGAGCATCTTGCACAGACAACTGTTTATAAATACCTGTATGTTTTTGATGATGGTTGTAGTAGTTCTCCAAGTTTCAGCTCGGTATAATAGAACTGTCTTGAAATTTGTATTGAAGAGTCAGACTTTGATGTTGGCTGACAGTTGTTTTGAGTTCCATGTGTTATTCGATTGTAGGAATTCTGGTCTTGCTTCGCCAATCTGTGCCTTTACATCTACATCAAGTCCTCCTTGCTTATCGACAATGCTGCTCAGGTATGTGAAAGTTCCCCACCTCCTACAGGGCTTCTCCATCAAGTGCGATTGGGTTGGTGTTCTCCGTGCTGTATTTCAAAATCTTGCTGTTTCCTATGTGTATGTTGAGGTCTACTGCTGAAGAGGCTGCTGCTACACGGGTTTTCTTGACCTGCATTCGTTGGTGTATGGCATAGAAGGACTAGGTCATCTAAAAAGTCCAAATTGTCTAGCTGCATCCAAGCCGCAAACTGTATTCTGTGCTTTTCCTGATATTTGGAGATCTTCATGATCCAATCAACTAACAGAAGAAAAAGAAATGGCGAGAGTAAGCAACCTTGTCTGACACCGATCTTTACTTGGAATGCATCTGTCAGCTGTCTTCCATACACCACTTTGCACTTTATTCCGTTGTATGAATTTCGTATGATGTTGACAACCTTCTCAGGTACACCATGGTGTTGCAGAAGTTTCCATAAGGTTCTCCTATCCATGCTTTAAAATGCTTTCCCATAGCGCTGTTTAGATGCCCAGAATTATTACAGAACATTTAGCTGTTAGTCTCAATATTGTTTTCAGTGGCATTAAAAACTAATTTCATGTATGATAATCATTAGTTTGAAACAAAT